ACAGAATAGAGTAGGGTCATGAGCCTCTGGAAAGAGCAGAATATGGATTCAAACCCTGACCCTGTGTGACCTTTACTAGGGGATGGGGTTTCTCCATGCCTCAGTTACCTCTTCTGTAAACTTGCAATACTCACAGTACCTATTTCACAGATTGAGCATGTTAATATAATAAGCACCATTTAAGCGCTAGCAACTGTTACCAGAAAAGAAAGAGTCTGGGTAGCAAGCATGCAGATATATTCTTAGCTCTCAGCAAAGTAGGTTATGGTATAAAAATACCATTAAATAGTAACTAAACTAGCATCACCTTAATGCACATCTTGCCAGCAACTTCAGCATGTGCGATTTCTTTTTAAACTACCCTACATTAAGGAATCAAGACCAGAAGGACTCAAGCTGGCCTCTTTGGAGCTGGGCCAGCAGGCAGACACCCACCTGGTCCACCCCTTCCCCACAGGGGTAGAAGCACCCATCTTGAGCCAGGCACTGAGGACATAGCTGTGGACAGGGGATTGGACCCCTGCCTCTGTGAGGATAAGTTGTTCCGAGTGTCGCATGGGGCAGAGTTCGAGGGAACTGGAACAACATAAGTGCTGGTGAAGAGAGGAGATGAGGAACCAGGGCTGGGCTCCCAGACAGCCTGCTGAGCAGAGGAAGTGAGCTGGTGGAGTCAGGGAAATGGGCTAGCTCAGCCAAGGCCCTGAGGCAGGAAGTGCCTGGTGTGCTCCAGGGAGGGAGAAAGCAAATATAATGACAGCTCTTCCATCAATCCTCTCTTCCCTGGCAACCAGTTCAGAGCTTGGAGACTGAAAAATTGATTTGCTCTGGATTTCCTAAGTTTATCTATTAACTACCCAGCAGGCCATTTGCTGGTTCAGAGCATGCTTCTAGAAGAAAGCACCCACCAGCTGGTAGCAATACCCCCACCAGTGGCTAAGTCACAGATGCCCCTGCTTTCTGCCCTGTGGGTTACCACTGGATGGAGTCAAGGACATACCAAGGGGACCATGTTCTGGGGCCATCTAAGGTTCTGGGCAAACTGGGAGGGATAGGAGACACCCTGGACTGGAGCTCAGGGTCTGCCCTTGCTGCCTGGGCTTGGGTGAGTTGCAGGACCTTCCTTGAATGCGGTTCTTTGTCTGTGAATCAGGGGTAGAGAGAGGAGCCTTCCTGGACAAATTGAGTCAAACAAAATCAAACATTTCAAGTAACATACACCTTAGATGTTCTTACAGTGTAGACCACAGGCCCCATGCCATCTCCTCCAGAAAAGGAGGAGTCCATAAACCCCTGAAATTAGCTCCTTGTGGGAGCTACTTTCTTCCAGGGAGATAGATCATCCCTATTTTAAAAGAGATGACAACTCCCAAAAAGTAGAAGATTCACACATGTAAATAGAAAACTGTCAACAATTACAACCTGCTAATGCCAAGGGACAGCAGCACCAGAATGGAGGGCCCCATCCCTGCTGGTGGGAGTGGACACAACAGGAAGTGTGGTGGTATCCACTGAGATGACAAGGCATGCAATGCCAGGGATGTAGCCCAGAGAAACCCTCACACCCTTGCCGGCAGACACACACATGGTGAGGGGCACCGTGTGCTGGGAGAGACCAGGCACTGGAGACAACCTAGATTTGTAGCAGGTAGACGTGGTGTTCCTACTATGGAGCGCATGCAGCGGCCCACAATCAGGTACATCAACGAGACTATGTTCAGAGAGAAATACAAGTGCCAGGTTTTCTACATAAGTTTAAAAGAAAGCACAAAAGAATCCTATATATTAGTTATGGATACTTATATGTGTATGTAAATGTGCCCAAAAGAGTCCAGGAGTAAAAATGCAAATGCAGTAGTTGGAGGAAAATGGGTTATTTAATATTTATTTGTAATGCTTTACTTCTTATAATTAAAAAAAAAGGATTTAAAGTCAAAACGACAAAAGATTAACAATTTTCACTTCTGAGTAGAGAACACACTGGTATTCATTTTATTACTCCTGGTATTTTCTTAGATTGTTAAAATCTATCCAGTATAAAATAAAAACCACACAGCTGGCTAGTCCAGGCCAGGCTGAAGGCTTCCCTGCTGTGCTTTGTACCTGCTTCCACGTCCCCCAGGCTCAAGGTGGCTCTGCATCCCAGGACATTGGCCACCAGGCTAGTGTCCCTGAGGCCTGTCAGGCTGGGCAAGGAAAGGCACAATCCATGGAGCTGGGTAGGGCAGGGCCCAGAAAGTGGCTCCTCTTGGCCAGCTGACCCCGGTGCCCAGGCGGCTGGGGTAGACCTGGGAGTGGGACCAGCAAAGAAGGATAGGGCAGGGGAGGTGGATGGCCAGTGGCCGAGTCACACATGAGCAGCTGTAGGCCTGCCCTTCCTTTGAGCAGGGAGCTCACCATCACCTGACTGGATGCCAGGGGCTGCAGCTTTAAATAAACTTGGACATGTCCACCTGGGGCCTGGAAGCAACACCAACTGTGGCCCAGGCAGGCACTGTCAACAACCAGCCAACATGGTCACTGAGAGACCCTAGCCCTGTAAATGGGCTAAACTCCCACAGCTCAACCCTCACCTCAGATATCCCCCTTGGGTGCCCTGCCTCACCCTCCCAGCTGTCCCACTCACAGCACAGCTACACCCCAAGGCACTTAGTCCTCTCCCTAGCCCAGAACCACCCTAAAAGGGCAGTGTCAGGCCCCTGGCAGCCTCCAGGGCCTGGTGTCTAGCAGGGATCCACAAAGGTGTGCTGGGCTGAGCTGACTGCTCCTGGCTAGGAGGCCATCCTATGTGTCCTAGGTCATAGCACTTCCCTGGACATCAGGCTTTATTGTTTACAGCACATACATATGGCTCTTGGTGTCTCCAAGGCTACACTTGCTCTGTTCTGGTGGCAACTCATGCTCTTGCCTTTAGAGGAGGAGTCCAGAAGTCTCAGCCTCACTCAGCCTCCACTGCAGGCACTGCACCTCTCAGCCTTGGGAAGGCAGCCCCAAAGAACTCTATTCCCCAGTGTAAGTGGCAGCCACTCGGAAAACCAGTCACCACAGGAGCTGGAGGATGGAGCTGCAGGACCATCCTGACTCTGCTGCTGGACACAGTGAGGCTCACACTAAAGTGAAGCAGAGAATGGGCAAGTGAGCTGCAGGTTGCAGAAACTGGGAGGTATATGGGATGGTCTTAAAAGAGGTTTCTTTGAAGGAGGCCAGGGTTGCCTAGTGTAAGGTTCTGTGTGTTCTTGGGCACAAGCAGAAAAGATGACAAGAAGATCCCCTAGGAAGAAGTGGCTTCCCACTGCTGACCTGATCCTCAGAGAACCTGTCCCAGCAGCAGCCAGGACATACCTCTGGAGGACAGCAGGACAGACCTGCTCATCTGAGGGTCTGAGAGCTGAGGAGCCAGCCACCCCTGCCAGGGTACAACCTTAGGCCTCCTGTCTACATAGAAGCTTACCTCGCCACCATCTGAGGACCCTCAGTCCTTTACCCTCTTCCTCACAAGCTTCCAGCCCCAGCCAGTCCCTGGAAATATCTTTAAGGCCTGTGTCCCCAGAGTCCACAGGGAGGTACACACAGTCCCTTATGAATAGGTGCTGGGCCCACCCATCCATCCCCCCACCAAAGGGTCCCCTAGGCCAGCCTTGTCCCCCTACCCTGAGTTATCCAGCACTAGCTTCTACTCTGCTCAGCTCCCTGCTCCTCAACCCGAATCTTCCCCACGTGAAGGGAGAAGTGGGGATGAACACGCCCCCGCACTCCTCCAGCCTGGCACTCTACAATTATCAATGATCAGCGTCCCTCGCCCACTGCAAGGTTTCACCAGACGCTTATTTAGTAAAGGAAGAAAAGGATCTGCCGCGGGGTGTGTAACAGGAAATCTCGCCAGCGCCCCCACCACGCAGGAGGGATGGAGGAGGGTGGGGGAGGATGGAGAGGATCAGGAGGAACCAGGAGGAGGGAGAAGATGAGGCTCCGGCCCAGCCAGACTAGAGAGACTCAGGAGTTCTGAAGCCAGTCCAAAGGATGCCAAGTGCAGCCAGGCTGACTGACGTAAGGGAGACCCCAGGCCAGACAGAAGGCCCCCGAGGGGTTGGTTCCTGGTCTCTGACTCCAAGGCAAAGCGAGTCTGGGGCCCCAAACCCAGGCTTCGCCCCACATTGCTCATGCTGCTCAGCAGAGTCTAAGCGCCCCGGCACCTGTTCCCCGTGAGGCCCTACCTGCAGCAAACCTTCAGAGCCCTACCCAGAGAGCTCCCCACACAACCAACCTTCCAAAATCCAGCTCCCAGTGGACTCAGTGACCCTTAAGTCAGAAGCCAGTGAGGCTTCTTCTCTCCCCCTCATCCCCATCCTGATGACCTGATCAAGCTCCCTGACCTCTCCCTCCCCTCGCCCCCCAATTCCTGTTTCCAGAAAAATCTGGGGGAAAATCCTTCAGAACCGAGATTCCTCAGGGGACCCATGGCAGAGACTTCTCCCACGCCGGCACCCCCCGCGCGGATGGGGCCACGCGCAGGAGCAAGCGCCTAGCAGGTTCCACCACCCCCGCCGCCGCCGCTCGGATGGGGGTGGGGACAGCGCGCCCACGCTGGAGACGACCCTCTAGGGCTGTGGCTGACCCTTCCCGGCGCTCCAGGCCCCGAGGCCTCCCCCGCGAGCCCCTCCTCTCTGACCTCCCCGCCGCCAAATGCGTCACGTCTGCCGGGCGCTCTGGGGACACCTGCTGCCGCCCCCGCCGCGCGGAGTCGCGAGCCTGGAGTCCCGGGCCCCGGCCGGACAGCCGCGTTGGGCAGGGCTGCGCGCGCTGAGGTCCGGTGGCCAAGCCCCGGGCCCGGGGCTCGGGGGTCGGGACCGCGCGGGGCCGTGCGCTCGGGCCCGGAGCCCAGAGGAGCCCGCGGCGCGCGGGGCCGCAGTGCGCCCGGAGCTGGAGGCACCAAGGGTCCAGGCTCCTCGAGGTCCTGGCCCTCTGAGGTCCCCGGCCCAGCCTCCGCGCGCCGCGGCTCTTACTTGCCAATATCCTCGTAGAGCTGGTACTCGTCGGTGAAACGAGTGCAGGTCACCGTGGTGGCCATGGCGGCGGCGGACGGGCTCGGCGTGCGCTCGGCTGCGCTCGGGCGGCGGCGACTTCGGC